TCACGGAAAACAACCCAAACCCAGGAACCGAAGGAGCAGCCGCGGGAGACAAGGAGGCCGCACGGAACCAAGGCACCGCAGCCACGGGAAACCACCCAGGCTCGGAAAACCAGCAGCTGACCGGAAATCCAAGGGGCAAAGGCACAAAAAACAAAAGCCCATGGTGGAAGCCAAGGAGCCCACATGGGAAAACTAAACAACTATTTTGGGATTCCAAAAGCACTTTTGGAAACCCAAGAGACAACTTAAATGAAGACATTAAAAACTATAATAAAAAGTACATTAAATAAAAGATAACTATGAACTAAAACTTAGCTAGTAATGAGCAAACCTTTAGTTCAATAAGTGAACTAAAAATCAGTTCATAAATGTGCTAAATTCCAGCTCAATTTTGATTGAGCTTGTAAACTCGGGGGAAGCCAAAATTGATTTATTTTGGACATGAGTTGACCCCCCTTTTGTCTACATCAAATGCTTTATTTGCAAAATCGTACTTCTTCCTGTTGAGTGGGGTTGATGTTGTTGCCTTTGCTCAGTTTTTCATATCTTTCTTCATGATTTGCGGAAGATCAAGATTTCATCTTGATAGATGATAACAAATTCATAGAGGTACACTTGCATGTTGTTATTCATAATAAATCAAGGGGATTTGGTAGCCTCTTGATAGCTGGATAGATATCATCAAGAAAGCTTGCTAAAAGTTGGAGGAATAACATAACCTCAGATGTATCAACTAATCTACATATTTTGTGCGGTGCTTATTCTACGTTCTCATTTTACTTGCTTTTCCATCCTTTGAATGATGCTTTCACTGATATGATTATTTACATTAAGAAGTAGACAGAAAGATGCTCTTTAGTGATTGTTTTCTAGAAGTTGGGGAAGAAATTTGTTAACGCCCAACATTCTTGTCCTCTTTAAACATTAGCAATTATACGGGGTGCTAACTAAAATCAATTTTGATGGAAATCTCCCTTTTTGAGGCCAAGAGCTGCTTATTAATGCATAGTTTATAGTGAAGAATGAATTACAAGTTAATAAACTTATTATGCAGAAACTTTTACCATGTGCCTTGAAAAGCATATAAGTGTGACGACACTGCATTTGTACCTTTTAACTTATTAAGTGATGCAAGTCCCCTAATTGTAGAATTTTTTGGTGAATGCATTTATATCCTTTATGGTGCAGAATGTTGGACATTAAAAGAGAAGCATAAAATTAAGTTAAGTGTGCAGAGATGAGCATGCTCAGGTGGATGAGTGGCTTTACTTCTAGATGCATAATTCTAAACGAGAATATACGTGAAGAGGTTGGAGTTGCTCCAGTGGCAGATAAGATTAGAGAGAGTCGCCTTAGATGGTTTGTTCACATAAAACGTCGGCCTTCCGATGACCCGGTTAGGAAAGTACATATATTAGATTTGGCTTATGTTAAGAAAGGTTGAGGTAGACCTAAAAAGACTTGGTTAGAAAATATTAAAAATGAATTTTTTTTATTAGATTTAATTGAGAATTTGACTCTTAACATGACACATTACAGAAAAATGGTTCATGTAGCCGACCCCATGTAGTGGGATAAAGGCTTGTTGTTGTTGTTTCATTTATATCCTTTGTATTTTTATGACTTAACAATATTTGAGTTAGTCCTATTTCTTAAGTCTTGACCTTGATGTCAAGAAGACATTGTGTTTTTACCTTGCAGGAAGAGGAGCAACTCAAAACTTTCAATAAACAAATTGAAGAGGATAAAAAAATAATCATATCAAGGAATAATCTTATTGAGCTGCATAAGGTTTAGTGTCCCTTGATCATTGGTCATTTTCTCTATAAATTTTTTATTGGTATTGTTTTGTTAGAACATGAAGAAAATGTCACTTTTTTTTGTGGTAAATATAGGTTCTTGAAGAGCACGGTCTTTCATGTCTGGAGCTTTTACATTTGAAGACAGATTGCATTTTTTTGACAAAGCAAAGTAAGGCAATACTATTAATGCCTATTTAGTATCCACTTGCATTGATTTTTGGTAAAATAATAGATGGATATTCTCTTGTAAGAATCAAACCTTAAAGCATTGTACATATAGATTCATCATCATCCCCGTCATTATTATTCTTATTCCAACAACTTCAGGTTAGGGTATCCTTGTTTATTGATTGCTAGAGAATTTTTCTTTCCGTCATGATTATCATTACTTAACTAAGTAGGGTTGGTTCTATGGTTTCAAACTTATGATTAAGCATGCTGTATCTATTGATATTGTTGTTTATATTTTATGCTTTTCTATATTTTTGTTTAAAACATAAGCTTTGTTAGTATCACTTCGTGCTTAAAACCATCTTATAAAAGTATTTCTAGTACCTGGTTATAATTTTATATTTTGCATTAATTTATTTCAGAGGCTACATCTCAATACTTATTTTTAGAGATTTATTTATTCCATCTATATTCATGGTCTCCTGATCAATTCAGTAATTATGTGTTTATTTTTTTTGTATTGGATGCTCTTTTTTAAATGCAGAAGCAGAGAAAGTTGTAGGGTGGGCTAGAAATCACTATTTGTCGTCCATCAGTGTTCCTTCTGTTAGTAATGGTAGATTGCTGATACCCCGTGAAAGGTAATATTTTGTTGCCTTTTCAATGTGGAGATATAAAGGTTACTTGGATCGTCGAACTTAAAGTTGTTTTCGTTTCTTATAAAGCCTGGAGATTGCAATTTCAAGGTTAGGGGAGCAGGAATCAATTTCAACTAAGCCCTCAGAGAGCATAAAGGTGATTGCTCATTCTTATTTACAATGTTTTAATTCTTATGACTTCAAATAAGCTGTTGATGGTTTCATAATATGCATAATTTATTGTAGAATCTTGCGAAAGATGAGTATGAAAGCAATTTTGTTTCAGCCGTTGTGCCCTCAGATGAAATAGGGGTCAAGTTTGATGATATTGGTGCTTTAGAAGATGTGAAGAGGACTTTAAATGAACTTGTCACGCTTCCTATGAGAAGGCCTGAGCTTTTTTCACATGGAAACCTTTTAAAGGTTAGAAAACCTTGGTCGTTACAGTTGTGCTATTTCCTTGTGTCTAATCTTGTGTTTTATGTTGGTGAGCTGTGATCTTCTTTACAGCCTTGCAAAGGAATTTTGCTCTTTGGCCCGCCAGGAACAGGTAAAACTCTTCTTGCAAAAGCCCTTGCAACAGAAGCTGGAGCAAATTTTATCAATATAACCGGATCTACACTTACATCGAAGGTAAATTAGACTATTGTCAAACACTGTCGATCAACCTGAATGCTTGGGAATACTTTTTTGCTACAAGTAATTCATTGGTTCTCTGATAGTGGTTTGGCGATGCTGAGAAGCTCACCAAGGCACTCTTTTCTTTTGCATCTCGGCTGGCACCTGCCATTATTTTCGTAGATGAGGTAAGCATTCTTTATTTTTATTATTTTAAAAATTGTTTTTATTTCTTTTTTTTTTTTAAATCCAATGCCCTTACTGCAGGTTGACAGCTTACTTGGTGCACGTGGTGGTGCCTTTGAACATGAAGCAACAAGAAGAATGCGAAATGAATTTATGGCAGCTTGGGATGGTTTAAGGACCAAGGACATTCAAAGGATTCTTATCTTAGGTGCAACAAATAGACCATTTGATTTGGATGATGCTGTGATACGCCGTCTTCCAAGAAGGTAGTGATCGGAAAATTAGGCCCTATTATTTCATTTTAGGGAAGGCTTTTATGTGCATACTTCTTTTGATTGAATTTGCTCTGTTCATTTTGTTATTAAAGGATATATATAGACCTTCCGGATGCTGAAAACCGTATGAAAATCTTAAAGATATTTCTGTCCCAAGAAAACCTTGACCCTAACTTTAGATTTGACGAGTTAGCTAATGCAACAGAAGGTTATTCTGGAAGTGATTTGAAGGTAAAAATGCTCTTCAATTTCTTTATCCAACTGTGTACCATTGGTTACTTTCTTTTTTGTTCTCTTTGCAGAATCTTTGCATTGCTGCTGCATATAGACCGGTCCAGGAACTTCTTGAAAAAGAGAAGCAGGTAGCGTTATCTTTTTGACCTATCGTAATGTTTAACTTTCAAGTAGTATTTGTGTCAATTAAGGTGGTAGCGATTAATTTACCTTAAACCATGCCATAGAAGGAGAGGTTGAAAAAATGGATAAATTTCCTAAATTGAGGATAGCTGCGTAGAGAATAATTATTTAGGGAGTAAACCATATATTGAAAGAGGAGAGAAGTGAATATCATAATTGACCTTGTGAGTACAAAAATCCCTTGAAATAATCTAATAAACAAAAGGATCGCAGTGTTTAATAATTACTACGTGAATAGATACGACATATACTGGATTAATGCCACATTTGAAAGACTATCCACCTTTCTTGTGTTAAAAGAACACGCCTTTAAATATAAGATCAAAAATTGCCTATTCTATTGTAGATCATAAAACTTGGGAAGCTAATTTTTATTTGTTTTTCCATTCTGGGTGCATTGAAGTTAATTAAATGTTAGCCATTGGCGCCTGTTCTTTTTTTTTTTGAAGTTCGATGCTAATTGTTCTCTTGCATTTGCATTTGGAGGATGTAGGTTCTGAAATCAAGCTTGCCTCAAAGAAGTTTTTTTCCCGATTCCATGATCCATTGTTTTTGGTTGACCCATCAATCATCATCTTAATCACCATCATCAGCCTGTAGCCTTATTTTAATTGTGTGGTCAGCTTAATGAACATTAATTTTCCATTCTTTCTTGCATAATATTATATGAGGTGTTAAACTTATTCTTCATATCTTTTTGAACAATATCTATCCATGTTATCTTATTTGGTCAACTCCTCATCCTTTATCTCCTTACGCCAATTTTATCATGGGTGTGAAATTAATTCAAAACAGATAATGATATCACTTGTTCATATATGCTCCTAGAGATAATGATATCAATTGTTCATATATGCTCCTATCCCAGAACCTTCTTAAGTGAACTTTAGTTTTATAGTTGTAACTTATCAATATTTAGGTTGAATTCTTCGGCTTTGAATTTTAATTTGGGCAAATTTTTAAAAGGATAATTTTTAAGGTAGGATTTAGGAGAAGAAACGCAATTTAAATAAAATAAAAAAAAGGATAAAAAAAGCAAAGAGAGTGTGTTTTGCGGAAAACGTGAAGCAGAGTTGTGTTTTTATGAAAAACGCAGTTAATTTTTACGTTTTCAGTAGAAAATGCGAAATATTCTGATGTTTTCTAATTAAAACTTGCTTTTTTTAGCCTAAAGATAGAGAGAGACGGATAGAGACTAGGGGAGAGAGAGAGGCTCAGAGTGATAAACGGAGGGAGGAGGGAAATTCAATATTAAATTAATTAATTTTTAATATTTTTAATTAGATTTTAAATTAATTTACTTTTATTAACTCTAAATATTATAACAAATTTTTATTTTTTTAAAATTAAAATTAAATAATTTAAATGTATATATATTAAATTGAATATAAGTATTGATTTATTGAGAAATTATTAATTACATAATATTTATCGATTTATTATAATTAGTATAAAATTTTAATTAATGTTAAAACTTTCTCGTATGAGATTAAATTATTTTTAAAATGAAGACATGATAACCTGCCCCCCCCCTTAAAAGACTTATCTAAGATGTTGCAGATAGTCAGTCACATTTGGGCTAAAAATTGATATATCATCGAATTGATAATAAAAAGCTTTCTCATGCAGTTTTAAGATAATAAAAAGCTTTCCTATGCCTTAGATGGTTTGGTCACATTAAACAGAGGCCTTCCGATGACCTGGTTAGGAAAGTTGAGATATTAGATTTGACTTATGTTAAGAAAGGTAGAGGTAGACCTAAAATGACTTGGTTAGAAAATATTAGAAATGATATTTCTTTATTAGATTTAAATGAGAATTTGACTTTAACAGGACACAATGGCGAAAAAGGATTCATGTAGCCGACCCCACGTAGTGGGACAAAGGCTTGATGTTGTTGTTGTTATTAACCTTGTAAATGTGCTAGGGGCTTTCGGATGTCCAAATGACATCACCATCCATTCATAGAGTCTATTAGGGGTTTTAAAAAAAAAATTCATTCATCTAATGATGAAATCCTGATTTGGTGATAACCATTTTTAAGTTAGTTTTAGAAAACAAATTTATCCTTAAGATCAAATCTCATATATTGCCACTTGAGGGATAAGAAATCTATACTTGATGATGATTTTATTAATAGTCCAACTGTCAACCCATATTAATGATATGCCATCTTTCATTGAGATTAGTAAGATTTGAATTGCAGAGACATTGCCTTTCTTGAATGAAATTTTTTCCAAGTAATTCCTGAATTTATATTTTAATGCCAGTGTATTCAGTAGGATTCATCTGAAAATGAGGAAGGTTGGGAAGCTATGAATTTGGGACTTAGTCAATGGATTGTTGAATGGACTTTAGATGGGGTAATGTATTGGGCAGGTTATCTGATGCAACGTCACTAAACTCAGAAAGGAGACCAGATATCACAATATGTATGTGAGTTAGGTGTTATTTCCTTCAAATGCAATAAGTGCAAGGAGTATAGATCTGAAAATTTTATCTTCATGGTTTCAAATGCAATCATTTTTATTGTTAAAGTTAGAGAAGCAGATTAAATAGAGATGCTAAAATTAGGGTCGTAAGTGATAAAATTATCTTTAGCAGTAGGATTTCCTATTACAATCCGTTGGGCTTTAGCACCTTTCTTTGGAGTGGGTTTGGTTTGTAGATTATAGGCAGTTTCTCTGTTGGTTTTACAACTATAAGTTTAATGATCTTGTTATTATGTTTGAAAACATATGTAGCGATTCCCATTTAAGTCATACAACAAGGGTAATCTAATAAGATGTGAGCAATATCTATGGAGAGCACAACACATTACATCTGGCCTTCATAATTGTCAATTTTTATCGAAATGACACGCCTACTTGTAATGCGCAGAGGTGTATGGTTGACTCAACTAACATGAAAAGATTTAGGGTATAGTTCAATCTTGAGATTGACTCTACTTGTTATGAGCAGAGGTGCGTGGTTGACGTAGGTGACCTGAAAGATTCAGGTTATAGTTTAATCTCGAGATTGACCCTAGTGATGGCGTAGGTTGAGATGACATTTATTGCACTTCTTTAATATATAACTAATATTCACATTTTCTTATTAAAAATATTATTTCTTTTCCAATTCTCTATTTTATTTTTGGTTATAGGAAAAAATCTTATTGCATTGATTGGAGGGGTATCATTGAGTTATAGTTATTCATCAGAAAAGGATATATCATCATAAACTTCTTTCACATTATGGGGTTCTCATGTTCTTTTAATAAAAATATTTGGGATTTACATTGGCTTGCCTATAATCCTTTTTGTTATTTTTAAAATAAATTATTTTTTAGTATTCTTATAATTCCTTTAACTAGGAGCCTTATAAAAATTGGTTGAGCCAGTAGATGGGGTAGTGGGTTTAGTAGTAGACTTGTGGGATGGAGTGTAGGGGTTTATCCTTTTGATATTGAAAGAGAAGCAATTTTCTTTTGATTTCCTAATAATAATGTAAAAGATCGGGGATCAAATAACTCAACTCCATTCCTAATTTTCACTCTTAAGTGAAATGACAAATTTATTGGCTATTTCTCATTCATTGTCCACCCAGTCGGTCATAGATACTTGATCTTCAAAGATGTTCAGTTATTCAACTATGAGGTGATTAGCTTCCTTTAAAGTATCTAGGTTTTATTCTCTTTGAATAATTTTTTGATTTTAGTGTCATTTTTCTTGAATCTAAGGTCGAAGAAATTAACCATTTGGGTCATATTTTCAATCTGATCTTAGTAAACTGATTTTAGTGTCCTATTGTGATTTTTTTATAAATATAAAAAGAGGGATGCGAAAGGAAGTGCTACAACTGAGAGAAAATAAAAGTTAAAATATGGATGCAAATATAAAGTGAATTCCAAGTTAAAGAACTTCCAGAAGAGGACGGTACAAAGAACTCCTACATTCCAATCTCTTTTTAGACAGCTCAAGACTTTTTGATAAAGTTCTTTCATTTCTTTGTAGTTTTAAACACACCAAATTATATGTATTCTTATTCTTGTAATTTTAAATACAAGAAAAAATAATATACTTAGATTTATAAACCGTAACTATTTTAAGAAGCGGCAAAAAAGCCGTCCCAATCGCAGCCTAAATCTCATGGGACTAGTTACTCCTGAATGGGATTTACAAGCGTGAAATACTATCCACCCATTGTAATGTGAAGCTTTCGTGCAAATTTATTTCATCATGATGCCATCTATTTTGAATGAATCAGCAAACTGAAGGAACTACAACATCCTCTCTGAGGCAGCTTGTGCTTGATGATTTCATTCAGGCAAAATCTAAGGTACTCGCAAACATCCTTTATGCTTTATGTTGCTTTTGCTTTCATTTATTTATTAGATTCAAACTCTTATTTCTGTTCACTGTAAACCAGGTGGGCGCTTCGGTTGCTTACGATGCTGCCAGTATGAATGAGCTTAGAAAATGGAATGAACAATATGGAGAGGGAGGCAGCAGGAGAAGAACGCCTTTCGGCTTTATGAACTAGTAAAGGGAAGCAGTTCATCCATTAAAGCTCTTTGTGATTCCTGGAATCAAATAGTCTAGGACTATATGCTTGTAGTAGTGTTGAGGTCCATGTTCTTCTTACTATAAATTTTTTTAGTCATGTTTTCACCATTAAACAACATTCAATTAAGCTTCTTTGAGAATAGAAATGAAGGGTTTACTGCTTTACTATTTTTAATTTGCAAATAAATTGTATTAAATGATTCGTGTTTATAATTATTCAATAAATTTTACGCTCTTTGTTGACTATATAATATAATCTTGTATTTTTTTCATTCAGGATTTAGAATCTTGCAACTATAATGTTTATTAAAATAAATTATTAGCTGAGGGTGTTTTAAATTATAAGATGCAAATTCTATCATTTTATAGCATGATTATTTTGCATTGAAAAAAAAAATCATCACAATTCCTCAAGGAAAAAAGTAATAATTAAGATTTCGTTTGTGATAATTTGTTTTAATTATTTTTAAAATAATTTTTTATATAAGAATTTTTAATTTAAAAAATTTGTATATCAACATTTTTTTTAGAAAGCATGAAAGAAACTATTCCAAACAAAGTTTAAAGCAAAACATATAAACTTAAGCTTTTAAATTGTCAAATTATTAAAATTCAATTATTGATTATATTCAAGTTAAATCTAAATCTAAGTAAAGTTTTATAATTTGAAATAAGCATTATAAGATGAAATATTAATGAGATTAGTAAAAGCAAAATCTCCTTTAAATTGGTAATTTATCTGATGGATGTAAGAATAACTCTTTTAAGTTCAATATATGTTAGCTAACTTAGCCTTTGTTTGGGACGATTTTTTTACTGCTTTCTAAAATGAAGTTTTAATACAAAAATAAAAAAATTTGTACTAAAATTTCGTTTTAGAAAGCAATAAAAAAACCGTCCCAAACGAAACCTTAGTGGGATCCCTTAATTTTCTTCTTATTTGTAACCTTCAACATAAGTCTTTATTTTTTAGGTAAAACAATATATTAGTTCGGGTTTTGTTTGTGTTCAAATCAATAGTAAACCTAACCCAAATTATTTTCAAGCCTAAATCATACACGACAAGTAAGACATGAGACTTGGTGGAACACTAATAAGGCTTCTTTTGTTATTGTAAAGTTGCTCTATATATAATCCTTCACATAAATTTGATCATTCTTTTAGAAGTATAACAGTCCATCTCAAATATTAGTCTAAGGCTTCGTTTGGGACGGTTTTTTTACTTCTTCTTCAAACAATTTTTTAGTTAAAAAATTTTAATATGTATTAAAAAGCTACTTTAAGAAACAGAAAGAAAGCCGTCTCAAACGAAACCTAAGCACCAGAGTGCATTAGTGGGGTACAATTCTTAAAGGAAAATATAGATATTTGCAATTTTGATGCATTATAAGATTAGGATTTTAATGCAGCTTATTTTGATTTGTTGGTTGAGAATTTTGACTATCAATCAAGATGTATTAAATTCGAATTTTATATATGTGATGTGTGTATGAATTTATCTTAATTGACCTAAATGTACCAAAAAAATTAAGATTTTAAATTGTCATATATTTCTCGTTAAAATCCTTTTAAAATCTTAACTCATGGCTTTTCACATACTTCTTAAATATCCTTGCTATTTTTTTATCATCTCTATGAGTTCTTACATCTTATATCAATATTTTCAAAATTTATCATTCTCCTTAAAAAATTATGAATATCTTTATTTCTTGTTTGATATGTTATGCCAAAAAAAAAAAAACTTTCATGATTATTTTCAAAATTATACAAATATTTTGAAAATTAAATATTTTATTTTTAAAATAATTATAAATATATTTATTTTTTTATAAATTTTTAATAAAATATCAATTGATTAAATGTAGAATTTGGTTTTTTAGATGGCCAATTTTATAATTAAAAAAAAAATATAAGAAATGCGGTTTGTACATCATGAAATATATTTTTTGGCTTAGAATGTTTATTTGCTTAGGGGAGGCTTGTGCAAATTAAGCGGTGACCACACCCTCACAATTGATATGCCAAATGTTTCACCTATCACTAAATTATTGAGGCATCATCTAAGAGGTCTCGAATTTGAGTCTTATATATGTGACGTGTGTGAGTTGTCTTAGTTGACCTAAATGTCGAAAAGGAAAATAAAATAAAATCTTCTCTTTTTAACCCACCGTTGCTTAGCTTGGTTTGTGGGCGAGTATGGATGGGAACCCTTTAACCCGTGCTCAATTCCCCTCGAGCGGCAGCGCCTCTTAAGTGCGGCTCAATCAAGTGCGGGCCAAGATGTTCCCGGGGTGGGTGCCTCTTCTAGGTCAGCCGAGGATTAGTCACACCACCAAGCGCCCTTTTGAAGATAGTAGCGGATGAATACCCCGTTCCAAAAAAAAAAAAAAAAATTTTCCCGTCCACACAGTGAATGTTATATTGTCTATGAGTAATGAAATTGTTGCGTGACACTTAGGCTTCGTTTGTTTTTTTGGTGCTTTTGTAAAAGGAGTTTTACAAAACATTAGTTCATAAAATGGAGTTTTCTAACGGAGAAGCATATATAAAAAGCTTTCTCAAAACT